AAAAAAACCCCTAACATATATGGATTGAATCAGAATATTGTGTTGGATCAAAACATATTGTACATTTTGAGAATTCTTACATCTATTACAATACATTTTGAGCTTTGGACAATGTTTGGATCAAACGAGCCAGAAACAACCTTAAGCAGCCACCACTGGAATATTATTGCAGTAATATCATAATACTAGTAGCCTTATATTAGTGTAGCCTAATATTGATCGACAAATATTTAGAAATAAATCTGGTTCTGCCTGCCTGCCTCATCGCACTCTGCCCTGCTGCATTACCATGTATAGTATTTACATTCATAATGATCCTTTTTTGTTGCAGAGCTTTAGAGGCTTTAAGAGACGAACTGTCAATGATGCCAACTTGGCGACCTACAAACTAGATATAGCAATCTTGGAGCTATTGCGGCTAGCTACTTTCATTGGAAAGAGTCTCTAATTTTTTGTATGTATATATTTAATATATCCATCCCAAGCTTACCTACCCAACTGAATGAATTCACACATTCAAGTAAATAGAAAGACAGCACAGCATTCAAGTGTTTATTGAGAATTTGAACTTCAACGTTAATGGAAAAAGCTCCAAACTTTTCTCTACAGCCCTTAGTATCAAGAAATCCTTCTAGTTCCTTTTACATGTGGATAGGAAAACAGCACAGATTGTTCAGAATATATGAGGAAGCCATCAGGGAAGCAGCATGACCCAAGGCAGGACTGCAGAGACAGGTTCAGCCACGACCCGAAGTCCACGACCCGAAGTCCACGACGGGCAGCGTCCGGGAAAACCAAACTTGAAGGTAAGATATCAAATGATGATCTTCATTAATTGCAGTGACAATTTAGTCTATTCTGACATTTGTTTGTGTGAGTTAATCTTTACCTATGATATCTGGTTGCAGAAGGGACTGCAATAGCCTGGATGTTGGTCATCAGAGTAGATGCCCTGCAATTCTCCTCTTTTACCTTTCCCAACATATCCTATGAATAGAAAAAGAAAATATTGTAATTGAATCACACTAGGACCACAACACACTAAATATGTAATGACACATAAACATTATTATCCAGAATAAGAAGTCTACCTGGTTTGCAGTTTTTGTAAGGCTCCAAGCATCCACGGCAGGTGTCAATGGTGTACATGACGTTGAAATCCTGCTTGTATGAAGCAGAGAACAAACTCCATGTAGCAACACCTGTGTAAAACAAGCATTTCAATAGAGCCATTAAAAATATGCATAGACACCACAGCTGTCGTATACTGCTGCACCTTCACTGAATCACTTACTCTCAAGCCAGCGAAAGTGGGCCCCTCTTCTGAAAGACACAGTGGACATTGTGTCTCTGAAGGTGGTACACACTAGAGTGAGTGATGAGTACGCTTTGTCACCTTCCTGGAGAACCACTTCCATCAGAAGGTCCGAGAGAAGACAGTTTGGCAGCTGTGAAGTATTGGTCAGACTAGATCAAACATATTTAACAACACATTGACTAGACTGTTGCCAGCACAATCGAAATACCAAGATTCTTTGGGCTTCAGGTAGCAAAAAGACACATTTTTAATATTAATGTTGAATATATCACACACATTTTTCTTATGTTTTGTTATTCTTCTCCTTGAGGTAAAAAACAGCTATCAATAAAGTTAAAAAAAGCAGTGAGACATAATAGTTGGAAATTCTGCCGTGATCACAGGTCGTTTTTTAAACAAAAAACAGTTACTGCTTCACTGAAAAGATATTACCTCCAATATGAAGCACATGTCGGACTTTTGAAACTGGACCTTTGAAGGAAAATATAAGGTGTGGGTCATGTGATTGTTTAATTACATGTGTATACAATTATCAATATTGATATGTATGCATGTGTTAAATAATCTGGATTGTTACATTTCTTTATCACAAACAGGAGTGTGCCTATTGACCTCATGTTCTGTCTTTTGCTTCTTTGAGACCCTGTACACTGGCTCCAGTGCCCCTTTGAGCAGCTCTTCGGCCTCATTGGTCCAGTAAGAAAACCTCTGTCCGTGGCTATAAAAATCACATAATATCAGGATGAAAATGTAAATCAGTGTCAAAGAAACTGTTGTCTATAAAGTAACATTTAAAATGTATGATTTACCCTTCAATCTGGTACCGTTCCATGAGCATAATGCACCACCATTTCCGGATCTGTGCTATGTCCCGCTAAAAGAAAATGTAACAATAATAAAGTTGAAAATGAATGGAACCTCATCATTTGTCTACTCAATGTTAGCCCCCTCTTCCCCCTGAAATACTAACTCAGAGGATAAATACTGACCTCGGTAAACCAAAGTGGAGCATCTGTGCTGAAGTTGAGTGCATACTGTGAAAGGATAAAGATCTGTTAAGTTATGAGTTTCAAAAACTAACAAAACCCCTTAAAAAAAAGTGTCAAGGGAGGAATTTACCATCAGTATGAAGACGCCACAGTCATTGCCCGTGGTTTGGTGAGGCTAACCCTGTAAGAATTTGGAATATAACAGTGATGTTCATGGTCAAATGGAAAATAAAGACATGTGAAAGCAGGTGTATGAGATGGTGGAGAAATGTACCTTGACGTCTCTGCCGAACTTTACTGTCCACTGACCTGGAGCAATGCGGTGCGCTAGGTCACTGTCAAAAGAAATGATAAGACATGGGAATTGATTTGGTGAAGGAACGCTATACTCAATATAATTCATGTTTTTGGATTTCCTTACATTGAACTATTGCATGCCTTAAAAGAGGAAAGTTATGAAAGCCACTGAACGGGGCTAAAATAAAACAAACAAAAATACGTTTACCAGCCTCTGAACAAAGCTGAACTTGAAAACAACCTTTGAACAAGGCTTATAACAAAATGAACATTATAATTCATAGCATCCTGTTGCAGACTCTTTTTCTTTTGGTTCCACTAAGGACACTCCAGACTTTGTGGAAATGGAGATATATTATAAATGAATTTGATCAGATTCAGACCCCTGGTCTACAAGATGGTTACTGCAGTATTAGAATACTATAAACTATTTAGAACTCCCATACAAGCCACAGAACGGTAAGGGGGTAATCATGTTACAAAAACCTAAATATGTCCTTGTAGGAATTGTCCCCAAAGCCATCTGGCTTAAGAGGGTCGAGCAAATATAACTCTCTCTTTGCTGGCTTGATCACCTGTCAACCATTGACAAAATAGCTGAAATTAGACATAATCAAACACCAGAAGAAAACCACACAGCACAACTTATGTTCATTTTGTACATGCTGGTGAGATCATTTGGAACAGACTCACGCAAAGCAAATAGTGATCTGCCTTTCCTTGCTGCCGACTCCAGGCAAGGATGAAAACCATGTCCTTGGTGGCCAATTGGTCAGCCTAGTATTTTAAACAAGGGATTTTAAGTTGCTGTATATCAATTTCAAGAAACATAGGTCTCAAGCAACAGGAACTTACTGGAAAACTGGCCAACGCGTCAGCTGTTTTGGACTTCCAGGTAGGAACCACATACATATCCACGATGTATATATCTTTGCCCTATATTGATAGTTTTTCAAAAAAAATGAAATCTTCATAGAAGTATGTTCAACAACAAGAGACAACCACACTTCACGAGATTGGAGTTTCACCACTAAACAGCTATTTAGAAAATATGTGTTATTCAAAAGAAAAAAGCAGGCCAATGATGTCTGTTGAAACCGGACATGTCTTTGGCTTCTTGTACCATCTTCAGGCACGTGTTTCCAATCTGAAACAGTAACAACAGTAAGTTACCTGTGCCATTTATTTGAGACAAGATGAAGTTGGGAGGAAAGCTCAAGTATACCTACATTTGACTCCATGCACTGAGGAAGACCCAGGCTCCAAAAGTCCTCTCTGGTCAGGCACACATCACCCTCCTTCACAATGACCTCTGCTCCAGGCCTATTGTGGTCTAGCACATAGCTGAGCTGCAAATAACAGATTGCAAAACATACTTCAAGCCAATAGAAAACATAGAAAAATTAAAATCAAATCACTGTGCATGAAGTAAACATATATCTACCAGCTTGTCTTGAATCGGATGTAGATCCTTTGCGTATTTCGCACCAGAGAGGGCATACTGGTGGTCAGCAACAGACCCCTCCGAATCCAACTTCGGTTCAGCTGTTATTAGATAGACAAAAAATAAACAGTATTATTGAAGTACCACACATGAAGTATACCTAAAATGTGTCCTTGTATTGATAATCAAAATACCTCTCAACATAGGCCTGATAAAGGGCTTCAGCTGAGACACATTCACACTCTGTCTCAGCTGAGCTCCTGTTGAGCTCAACAGGGTTGCCACACTCTTGTTGGTGATTGAGGAAACCACATAAGGGCCAAACCAGTTGCACTCCAGTTTTCCACCTTTTCGGCCCTCCTTCCTCTTATTCGCTCTTAGGACCTCATCTCCAACGTTAATCAGGAAAGATTTCACATTCTTTCCCTTGCGTTTTTCAAAAGAGATTTTCTGTCTCTGTTGTGCTATTTGGATGTTCTGGTAAATCTGAGAAAGATATGTAACAGTTATCATTTACAGTCCTTAACATACGCTTGCATTTTTTAGGAGTTATTATGTTTTAAATATTGCCATTTTATTCTCACCTTCGAGTGCAAATCTGCAATGGTTGCAGCCTTTGCCTCAAGCTGCTGTTCTGCCTCATCAGCAGGCACCAAAACAGAGGTATCATCCCTGTCATTGACTGTAGCATTTATAACACCCGGGACGCGAGGGTGCCTCCCAAACTGGGCAAAATAGGGCGTGCACTTGGTTGACCTCTGAAAGCATAAAAATTCCTTTTAGTATCTCTGTTGAGTATTGTTTCCATCTGCATTTGTTACAACATTGTACCTGCTTTGAGGTGTTAATGCTCGCCACAATGCCCCTCAGATGTCATTCTGGTCCTCTCCACAGTACTTTGCAAGTGCTTTTTTTATGTTTTGGTTTGTACGCTCATCTTGGCCATTGCACTGGGGATGGTACGCTGAAGTGATGCAGTGTTTTACACCCAGTGCATCAAAAACACCACGGTTGACCTGCAGATGGTTTAGTGTACACCAATTACCAAATTACCTGAAAAATCGTATTACATTGTTACACATAACACATACACTGTATTAGATAGATTATTGTACCTCATTGACAAATTCCCGTCCTTGGTCGGTAATGATCTTCTCGACAAGACCGAAATCGAGAAGAATATTTACAATCTTTTTTGAGACCTCAACAGCTGTTTTGTGGTAGAGCGTTTTTGCTACCACCCACTTCGTGAAGTTAGAATCGCTGTTAGAATGTATCTGCAATATAAAATGCAGAATGTTGTAAATACATACAGAATCACTGTAAATGATTTCCTTTCTTTTGAAACCAGATTCTTCACGTTTAGAACCTTTAAAGGAGGTTACACATGCTTCAGCCCATCATGATAGTACCTTTTGCCCTTAGCAGTGGAGGGAAGTGGGCCAATGAGATCCACACCAAGGACAGTCCATGCCTCGGGAACATGAATGGGATGCAGTACGGGTGCAACCGTTTTAATGACCTCGTGTTGCTGGCAGCGGGGACACTCATCAACCTTAGCAAATATCATAAATTTTCAATCAGCAAAACAAAAAACTTTAGGTATAAAAATGATAGAACAGAGAAAACTTTCAGAGGAGACAGAATTAAACTGTTAAAGTTCTGAAATATGTTTTCTCTGCTCTGATGGAGCTCAAACTGTCTCACTCTGTTTCAATGTACACATACAACACATTTCTGTAGATCAATAATCAGTCAGTCAGTCAAAATCTCCCACCCATTTCTTCACGTCCTCCCGCATAGTGGACCAGTGGTACGTTGCCAAAACCTTCTCGGTGGTGCGCCTTCTCCCTGCATGACCTCCGGAACCCAGGTTATCATGGCACTCCTTCAGGACATTGATAATTTGGTCCTTGGTGCACACAACCATCCTCTCATTGTCCTTGTATGTGTAGTACAAATCTCCAGCTGGCACAACAGGAACAACAAAACAATCATTTAGACATGTGTAGAGATGACATTATGACTAAAAGCTGTTCAAGAAATCCAGTGGCAAATGTGGTTTAGACGTAACAACTACAGTAATGTAAAGTGTGTATAAAAAGAAAAAGGAGAAACAAGCTGTGGAGTCCTTGCGATTTACTGAAAAATGTTGGAATTGCAATATGATAAACCATTAGAGGTATGATCACTTTTGCACCAAAAAACACCATTAGATAAATAGATAGATAGATATATACTTTATTGATCCCTATAAGTAAAGGGATGTGATGATGTCACATGTACAGGGGGTTTATACCTCATAATAAAAACGTATGTTCGTGACTTAACCATGGTCTTATTCTGTTACTTACCTTTGATCAGGTATTGTTTGGATGCCCTCCGAATGAACGCCTTCCTTTTATCAGGCTTTTCAGCGGCGATGGTGAGATTGTGGTAACCACCATTGAGCACGTACTGCTTTATCTCAACATAAAAGCTCTCCATTTCTGTCATGAAAGTTAAAATGGTCGCGGTAATTATGGGGAAGCGGAGGGATCTAGATCGTTCACACATAACAAGCTGTACCGAGTTCCTCCGGCTGCAGTTCCACAGACGGCCGGTGTGTGGCAGCAGAGCGCTGGGAGCAGAGGGAGGTGAGTATATGACGGATATGACGGATGACGGATGCGACGGAAATACACCCGAACATATCTGGTAGGCCGAACATATCTGGTACTGACACCGGCGTATGCCACAGATGCCACAACTTGCCGAGGCATCTGCCGCTGCTCAACGGGAGTTGCCACAAGATGCCAGAGAAGGTTTACTGTAGCTGCCACTCGCCTTCCGTGGCAAATGCTGCTATTTAAACCCGTATTTATCGTGTAAAATGTCGCTGTTTAGGCATGACTTTATCGAACTGATCTGTACACAGGACTGATGATCTGTACACAGGGTTGGGTTGTAACGGAATACATGTAACGGCGTTACGTAATCAGAATACAAAAATCAAGTAGCCTAACTGTATTCAGCTCGTGTTACATTTGAAAAACAACTAATCTGATTACAGTTACTTTCGTAAACCTGAAGTGAATACATTTTGGAATACTTATAGGAATTATTGGTGGAAAAGTTTCCTCACAAAATGTATCCTAATATTCATTACCGGCAGAACTGTGTGCACAGCGCAGCAGCATGTCTGTGAGGCCCCGCCCCCGCACGCAGATGAGAGAGAGATCTCTTTTTAAATATATTGAAAGTTAGAAACGGAGATGGTTCGATAAAACGTGCAAGATAACATTTATGTAGCATTTATTTATTGTCGAAATGATGACATTTCATAACGGGATACAATCAAAGTGAGTGGCCTGCTGCTGCTGAAGGTATGGGGCAAATATAACTGTCCTTTGCCTAATTTATAAAGTAAACCTTAGCATCTCACTAGCAGTGGCAACTACAATCAGTTACAGCTGCCCTAAGTCTGTAGCCAAGTCTAATAACACCAGTGTACACGTTGCTGTGTCAATACAGATATGTATTTGTTAATTATTTGTCTTTACTAGTCATAATACACCTGGTTTATCGTAGCAAGCAGTGGAAACTCCCCTCAAGAAGCGACAATTGCCAAGGGCGTTGCAACCCTCACTCGCCAATATTTCATCATAAATATAGCACGTTTGTTTATTTTAGCAAACCATGCTCCAAGTAGAAATGATAATGTATAATCTTTTTGAAAAATAGAGATCTCACATCAGCTCTGTGTACAGATCAGTTCGATAAAGTCATGCCTAAACAGCGACATTTGACACGATAAATACGGGTTTAAATAGCAGCATTTGCTACGGAAGGCGAGTGGCAGCTACCGTAAACCTTCTCTTACTCTGGCATCTTGTGGCAACTCCCGTTGAGCAGCGGCAGATCATGCCTCGGCAAGTTGTGGCATCGGTGGCATATGCCGGAAGTACTTGCCACAGATGCCACAGAGTAGTGGCATCTGCCGGAAGTACTTGCCACATATGCCACGGAGTAGTGGCATCTGTGGCATATGCCGGAAGTACTTGCCAGATACCACGGAGTAGTGGCCTCTGTGGCAGATGCCGGAAGTACTTGCCACTGCCTGCAGATGCCACGAAATGAGCCAGGCCCTACTGTGCGTTTGCAATGCGCTCTTCTTGACTAGATTGACTACTTTCACTACAGAGTCCATGACATCTGCCAATTCAGCACTCATATCTTTGGCAACAAGTGACTCCCTGTGTAGCATAGAGTGCGTCCAAATCACTTGCGGAGACACATCCCTTACAAGCGCGATTAGTCCACTTTTTAAACCAGCCATGGCTCTTGCACCGTCAGTGCACAGCGCAATACATTTTGTCCATGGAATGTCATTTTCTCTGAAAAGAATATCAATCACTTTGAAGATTTCAGAACTAGTTGTGCGTTGAGGGAGGCACTTACAAAACAAAAAGTCCTCCTGCATTTCCTTATCATCGACAAAGCGCACAAACGCCAGAAGCTGGGCGTCCTTAGACACATCTGTTGACTCGTCTAATTGTAATGCAAATGCATCTGCCAACGTCAGCTTCTCTATCAGTTGCACCCTCACATCAGATGCCATCTCGTCTATACGGCGAGCTATGGTTGTGTCCGACACTGGAATGGTTTTCAGTTTGTTAATGTCAATATCATTCCCATACATTGTTTTACACATATCGGTTGCTGAAGGCAATATTAAATCCTCTGCAAGTGTGTATGGCTGTTTCTTCTGGGCAATCCGAAGAGCAATTTGATAAGAGCATTTCAAAGCTAGCTCACCAACTTTGGCTGATTTTCTGATCTATATCTGTTGACCTTGGAGGGATTTGAGGCTAGCTTGGAAGTATTCAACAGGTTTGTCTTTTAAGTGGCTTTGTGTTGTCTCCAAGTGACGCTGCAGCTTTGATGGCTTCATAGATTCATTTGAAAGAACAGTAGAGCAAATGACACATATTGGAAATTCAATGCCATCTGTCTCCTTAAAGGTAAAACCAAACTTCAGATAATTATCTGCATATTTTCGGGTCTTCTCTCGTTTGCGCTTACTGCTACATCAGCAGCAGGTTCCGCCTCGCCACTTGCATGTTCACTGGTGGTTTCTGAGGTGGATGGTATCTCTCTTGTGCTTGTGGATTTTTTTGGTCGAGTTACAAAACGATCCATTTTTATATATATATAAAGGTATAGTCTTCTCAATAATATCGCAGCGTGCGTCCTTGTGTCTGGGTCCTTAGTAAACTGGGAACTGAATAGGCTCTCGGCCAATCACGTGGAACCTGACAGAGCCAGCGTGTGTCATGCGGCCTCGTGATTGGCACAGCAGCGATAGGGGCGGGTCCTCCCCTTTGTGTACAGGAGGCCTGGTGGGACAGGTCCGGGGTAGTCTCCTGCTGTGAGTGAACCGGCGCTTAGCTTGAGATAGCTACTGTGTGTAGCTGAATGCGTGCATTGCTGACTGAAAGATAACGTCTTCTGCCTCCATTTCTCCGTTTGCTACAATATGTTGGATTCATGTTAATGTGCATTTAAAGACATTTCAATTTGTGGGAAAAAAAATGTTTGGAAAAAAAATAAAAATGTAAGAAATATAAAAAATGGTCTAATCAACCAAAGATTTAGTTGTTTGTTGTTGAAGACCTCTGATCTAGAGAATTCGAACGGCTCTTATCATGGATGCCACTGAAGTACTTCCGGGTCATTTCACTCCATTAGGAAGGTTCCTAAGCAAAACGGACTATTCGACCGCAACCATGGGGTGTTTCTCAATATCGAGTAAAGCTGCCACAGTGGCAAAGCCCCGGGGACGTTGTTGACCTCAACTGATGGAGTGTTAGGGCGTTGGAAGGAACACTTTGAGGAACTCCTGAACCCGACAACTCCGCCCTCTATGTTAGAGGCAGAGCTGGAGTATGACGGGGGATCAACACCAATCTCCCGGGGGGAGGTCACTGAGGTCGTCAAACAACTCCACAGTGGCAAAGCCCCGGGGGTGGATGAGATCCGCCCGGAAATGCTGAAGGCTCTGGGTGTTGAGGGACTGTCATGGTTGACACGTCTCATCAACGTTGCGTGGAAGTCGGAAACAGTACCGAAGGAGTGGCAGACCGGGGTGGTGGTCCCCCTTTTTAAAAAGGGGGATCAGAGGGTGTGTGCCAATTACAGAGGCATCACACTACTCAGCCTCCCCGGGAAAGTTTACTCTAAGGTACTCGAAAGGAGGGTCAGGCCGATTGTCGAACCTCAGATTGAGGAGGAACAATGCGGATTCCGTCCTGGTCGTGGAACGACGGATCAGCTTTTTACTCTCGCAAGGATCCTGGAGGGGGCCTGGGAGTACGCTTATCCGGTCTACATGTGTTTTGTAGACTTGGAGAAGGCGTATGACCGAGTTCCCAGGGAGTTACTGTGGGAGGTGCTGCGGGAGTATGGGGTGAGGGGGTCTCTACTCAGGGCCATCCAATCTCTGTACTCCCAAAGCGAGAGCTGTGTCCGGGTCCTCGGCAGTAAGTCGGACCCATTTCCGGTGAGGGTTGGCCTCCGCCAGGGCTGCGCTTTGTCACCAATCCTGTTTGTAATATACATGGATCGGATTTCGAGGCGTAGTCATGGGGGAGGGGGTCTGCAGTTCGGTGGACTAAGGATTGCACCACTGCTTTTTGCAGATGATGTGGTTCTAATGGCTTCATCGGTCTGCGACCTTCAGCACTCACTGGATCGGTTCGCAACCGAGTGTGAAGCGGCTGAGATGAGGATCAGCACCTCCAAATCTGAGGCCATGGTTCTCAGCAGGAAACCGATGGACTGTCCACTTCAAGTAGGGAATGAGTCCTTACCCCAAG